GACATCAGAGTCTAGACTATGACCTTCAGCAAGTTTCTTGGAAGGGAAAGAGGGATATATGTATCGAGACATCCACTGTGCTTGAGAGTTGTTATTCAACAACTTTACATTCATTAGCACATTTAGTTCTTTACCAATCCTAGGAAATTGTATTCATACCTGTTTATAGAGGGGGTATGGTAGACAGTTTGCAGAAACAGCCACAATATTACCCCAGCCTTGGTACCCAACAACTACCCTGACCACAGGGTGGGCCTGTGACTGGCATTGTCCAGAAGGGCAATGGCAAATGTGGCATACGCAGAGATGAGCATTGGTTGTACATTGAGATTTGTCTCTTCTTGTTGTGTTTGAACACTTCTGCCACCATGTGTGAATGGGCCCCAGCTAGCTTCCTGGATGTTGAGCAACAGTTGAGCAAGCCGGCCAACACCAACCATCACTGACAGCCCAGGTGACATGCTCAACCATCAGACATGTGAATGAGGCCATTGCAAACTGTCCAACCCAGCCAAGCCACCCAGAAGGCCATGTGAATGCACCTAGGCAGCTCAGATCAGGATAACAAGCCTGCCAACCCAAAGAATCTTCTGACAAATAATAACTGGCTTTAAATCACAAAAATTTTAGTGGTTTAGTAAGTGGCAAAGCTACCTTACCTACAAGGGAACTGAGGCTCAGAGACATTAAATGACTTGTAGAGTCACAAAGCTGTGAATGGAGACACTTTTGCCACGTGCCTCTTGACTTCAAATTCCTCATCTATAAAACAAAGGTAATGAAGGAGGGTACCCTGCTCCCTTCCTGATGCTTGGGTGAGATGAGAAGATGCTCTGAAAATTACACAGGTCCAATATTTTGTATTTTATGATTTCATTTTCATTCTCTATTTCTTCTGTAGTTCACACCTGAAATACATGATCTGGGCTTCCCTACACTGCCTGTTTAGGGAACGTCTTCTACAGGCCTCTCATAGGCTATTTCCAGGATTTATGGTAACTATCCCATTCCAACCCAAGTGTCCCTTTAAACCAGGGAATAGAAAGCCCCCTGCCTACCATCTGTCTTCTCCATCTTAGGGAATGTGACTCTCCGCCTCTCAGGCACTCTTCATTCGCTCAGTCTGTAAGATTCCTGGAGAGTTCTGAAAGAAAGAAGGGTAGAGGGTGGAGAGTTCCTTCAGAATTAAGAGTTGAGGAAACACAGCATCAAAGAAAGTAACATGGGTCTCTGCCTTTCTCCCAGGGTTCACAGACCCCTGAGGAAGGACAGAAAGAGCCTGAACTCATTCGTAGAGCCCAGTTCTGGTGTGTCTTTGTGGATTGTGAGCCATGGTTGACAGTGAAGGAGCACTTGGTCCAACCCCCTAGTTTGGGAGATAAGGAAACTGAGGCTGAGGAGAAAAGGGTCTGTCCAAGGTGTCTCACGCTATTAATGAAGGAGCTG